TTACTAATAAGCGCATGGTGAAAAGTCACTGAAAACCGCTGAGCACTAGACGGCTATTTCTGTCTTAGTTCAAAACTACTTTAACAACTCAAAGCCACAAATTGCTTATATAATCGGTTCCGGAACATTCAGGTTTCAAGTAGAGTGTAGTGGTTTTAGACCACTACATTGGTATCTTGCAATCATTATTTTCTACGTCGGTCAATTCATGATATATTGAAACTATCATCCTCTAACATCTTCATCATTGTATACTTGATAAGTCACAATTTCTAACTGATACTTTAGAAAATTCTTCTTTTGAACTTATTCGCCATTAAATTTACGGTTACTACCTGAACCAGTGTTTTATGAAGAATAATTCAAGTAGATGTATTGATTAGTAGCTGTGTTCAACTAAGAGTTTTACTAACTAGTCCACTGAACGATATCAATTTAAAGTGAACAGATCTCCGTCAGATAAATTTTTTTAAAAGTTGAAGTGAGATGTAACCAATAGGAATACTATATCGACAATTAACCGAAGCTAAACTTTTGTACTACTATTAACGAACTCAATTATCTAAATGTGCTTGTGTCCTCCACGAAACCTGAATATTCATAAATCAATTACATATAAGATGCTAAGTGTGTGGACATTATAAAAGAGTCCAACATGAGGATTAAAAGAGCTATCACGTTCATCCTGAGACTTTATAGTTCTATTCATAGATGTCAGTTTATGATGAAATCACCAACCAAAACCAAGTGCATTTCGAAAAGGAAGATTTGCCTAAGAGGAAAGAGATAATATGTAGTGGAAACTTGAACAAATCACGCATATTTGCAAAGTGTACATATAAGACGGTCAAAGTAATTACCCATAATAGTCTCAACGGAACCAGTTGAATACAAAATGTATATAGACAAATTTTGTATACATTCATCCAGTCCTTTATATTTAAGTTTCCTACACACTTTTAATCCTTTTAATCTAGCTGGACAAATTCAAAATAGGAGAGAAAAGTTAAATCGAAAAATATATAATCTCAATAGTTGAGATCATGAGTCAACTGAAGCTAGACCAACATTGAAAATCTGGAAGCACAGGACGACCGTTTCGCCCTATTATGGGACTCCTCAGCAGTGCACACCCATGATTCCGCCTCTCGAGATCCGAACCCAGGATCTATCAGTCTCGCGCTCGAACGATTAACTATTGAAATTACTATAATATCCACAAAACCCATTCTGAAAATATATAATCGTCAAAAGACTTTCAAAACTAATAAATGTTTATGGTTTCACATTAGGGTTTGACTTTAGTTAGTTCCAGTGAGAAGGTGAGATCAGTGGAGCTAAACTATGTAGGACGTGAAACAAATATCACCAATCTCAACTGATGAGGGCTGTTCATAATCACTGATCCGAGACACGGAGATCTTGAGTTTGATCCCCATGTGATCGTAGATTCTTATAATGGAAGATTTGTATGTTATGATGAGATATTTGTCTTTAACTTCTTGGTTTTCAATAGATGACTAACTGCAATCACTATGCCATATGAAATGCTAAATCTAACAATCTACAGAACACCTCTACACTACATATAAACAGTGTTAAGTTACTAAAATGAAATCATCAATAGATGAGAACATAAAGAGAATTAGTGTTGTATAAGCTGTCATAACAAGTTAAGAAGTTATGAAATGCTATTAAAATGTTTTGTGATTAATGATGATATTTGTATTAGATTGAATTAAATGAAACAAAGGAATATGTATTTCATTTTGATTATACTCAGCAAGTTGTTCCCGGTTAATGTCTATGAAAGGATAGGAAAACGAGCTATTTGTATGACGATTTGAAATGAATTCGAGTTGCTGTGGAAAACACTTAATTGATTACAATGTGGTTTGTCATATTCACCAACTTAACAAATGTAGCAATTATATTTTAGCGGAATTGGGATTTGTGTAGATTGTAGCAATTTTAATAGTTGAATTCATGAGTTAAACTAAGAAAAACCGGTGATTGTTAGACTTCCGACAGTTGAGATCATGAGTCAGTTAAAGCTAGACTGCCATGGAAAACCTAGAAGTACTGCACGGCCGTTTCGTCCTATTGTGAGACCACTCATCAACGCGCATCCACGATCCCGCCTCGCGGAATCCGAACCCAGAGCCTATCAGTCCCGCGCCAGGCGCTTAACCAACAAGACCACTGAGCCGGTGTCCAACGGTGTTAATGTCTAACATCAACTAATCCATGAAATTGAGCGACACATTCATCATTGTCTTCAGTGAGTTACTATCTCACAACAGACCCGGTTGAACTCCACCGGTCACTGCTTCTCACTAGAACTCCAAGAACTAGTTCTTGAAGCCAGTCACTAGTGAGCATATATTGATTAGTATCAGAAGGGGTTTTTTGTGGATATTATAGTAATTTCAATAGTTGAGATCATGAATCGATTGAAGCTAGACCCACCAAGGAAAACCTGGAAGCACTGGACGGTCATTTCGTCTTCGTGTGGGACTCCTCACCAGTGTGCATTCACAATCCCTCACGCGGGATTCAAATTCAGGAACTTCAGTCTCGCGCACGAATGCTTAACCTGTAAACACCAATGGGCCAACATCCAACGGTGTTAATGTCTAACTTTAACCAATCCACGAAATTACACAATCATCTTCCATTGTCTTCAGTAACTAATTGCCACTGGTCACGGCTTCTCATTAGAACTCCGAGAATTACCTATCAAAGCTAGCCACTAGTGAGCACATGGTGGCATAGGTTGTTGAGTTTTTGAGTGAGATCATGAATCGATGGATGGGCACTGCTGATGAGTCCCATACTAAGATGAAATGGCCGTCCAGTGCTTCCAGGTTTCTCAATGGTAGTCTAGCTTAGATAGACTCATGAATTCAACTATTGAAATTCTACTTTATATTCAACAGTTTTCACTTAAAACTAAAATAGTAAATATCCATAGAGTTTTAAAAGTATCCTCTCCTCTTTCCCTTGAGGTGGAATCTATCTAAATAACATGATAATGTCAAATCAACACAGAAACATATATTCAATGTACCGTTGTTTAGAATTCAAATTTCTATATACAAAACTTATAAATAACCGGCTCTAATAAGCAATAAACTGCTTACTGCCTTTTTGCATATTTGCTAGGTTTGAAGCTATTACGAGTTCACATAGTATGCGAACGGAACAAAGACTTGTGACCGTAGACCAATAAGCTAGCTATTCGATGCGTCCCAGCCCGTAAGCCAGAAGCACGGGTGACTCATAACAGACGCAAATCAAACAATAATTTTAAATAAATTATTTTTATGATCATATTTAATTCGTGGATCTTCCTGTACTACTGTTACTACTACTACTGCTGTAATGAACGAGAATACAAGTTGGGACAACCATATGTATGGGGATACAAAATTACAGAATCTCTTAGTAAACTTTTAGAACTATACAGTAAATACTTCATTTGCAAAATATCCATCAATTGTCTCAGACTTTGTTGTTCCTTCGTTCCCACACCAACCACTCTTCTCTTCGATTTTGTCAACCTTCTGATGCCAGTCATTCCACTTTCGAATGGTGATACAAACTGCTTATACGTGTCAACACCAGTAGCATACACCACACTACTACTACTACTATTATTATTAATACTAATATTCATATTCAGACTATGAGGCAATGTGACGTTGGTTCAAATGCTATAAGTAGCATTGATTTCCTTCAAATTTACGACCAAACCTTTTTAACCAATACCAACTATCATGAGGCCTAAAACAATCACAGTTTCCTGCCACCTACCTCAAACTACCTAACACTCATCAAGACAGTATGACGATAATTAGCATCACAAAATAAATTTAATGGAGTAATATGTTTTTATGAGCAAATTATTTATGGACTCTTTACTGCTTACCTTACATACAAGGTGTACTGTAGAATAAAGTGTTTTCAAATTTATGGGACAGTAATGGTGTTTTACTCTGCCTGTAACTCTTCTAGGGTTATTGTCGGTCCCAAGCCCGGGTAAAGGAGGAGGGTTGAGCATAAGGTCAGTAACCCAATACCGTAAAACACAATCTTAATAAAAAGATGTTAACCAGAAGGTGGTGCTCCACGAGGAGCAACAGGCGTAAGCAGCAGGGAAACAGTTTTTTTCCAAGAGTCTTAGATATGTGTGCTATTATTAATGCTACTGTTAGATTCGCTTAATGCATACCAGTTTATGTATTTGACCAGGATCAAATGAGGGTTATAAACCAGTGTGAAGAATTAGAATTATGATTTACAGTTGATGATTAAGGTCAAAAATTAGATTTAGGGTTTTCATTACAAAACTGGCATCAGCTGTAGTGCCAAAACTCTATTTAGCCAAATGGATGAGTGAATTTCGCGCCGAAATCCGAGACCTGTTATCTTATACGTGATTGGTTCGTCCATAAATTATAGTCCCGCCCTTTAAGTACAAACATATACGGTTTGAAACAGTTTATATTGTATTGAAATATAAGTTCACGGAACAAAACTATTGATTTTTTAACACATGGTGTTAGATTACTTTAAATAATTACTGACTCAGAGATTCACTCATACAGTGTTGCTGTTTTGTTTTTGTCTGTTTTCTAATTTTTCTATCGTTCTTCCAATCATCTACACATTTTACACGACAAATATTATACTACTCATGAAAATAACAGACAAATATCGTGAGTGTACACTGCTGAGGAGTCCTACAATAGGACGAAGCTGCCGTCAAACAGTACTTCCAAGTTTTTCATGTTGATCTAACTTCAATTGACTCATGATTTTAACCACTGAAATTACTATAATATCCACAAAATCCCTTCTGATATTAATCAACATATACTCACTAGAGACTGGCTTCAAGAACTACTTCTTGGAGTTCTAGTGAGAAGCAGTGACCAGTGGAGTTCAACCGGATCTATTGTGAGATAGTAACTCACTGATGACAATGATGAATGTGTCGCTCAATTTCGTGGATTAGTTGATGTTAGACAACAACACCGTCGAATGGTCTAGAGATTAAACGTTCGCGTAAAAAACCAGTAGGTCCTGTGTTCGAATCTCGGCAGGTGGGGTCGTGGATTCTCACAACTCTCAATTGTCAATTTAATAATCATCAGAGTGACAGAGCCAATAGTTTAGCGGTTAACTTACTCGACTTTCGAATGATATGTTACAACTTCAAATCACACTTTATCTACTCCATTTTAGGCAACCCAAGTAGCATTGTAGTGAGAGAACACTCCATAAAACCCCCTTCTAATACAACCAACCTTATAGTATGTTAGGAAACCATGATACTATGGACATATAATCTAGAAATATGTTTTGATTCACGCAAATACACGAGTATAAAATCTCTGAGAACTAATATTACTACTGATATTACTATAATCAGTAGTAAAAAAAATAAAAGTCAAAAAAACTGCTTTTGTTATTCGGTAATATTCACAGCAATCAGGGAATATACTGATTGAAAACGGTGTAAATAAAAACAAAATAATAAACAAACAAATTATTCATATTTCTTGGTTAAAACCATTAAAAAAAAGGAAAAAATTAAACTGGACTGATATGTTTTCTGTTTTTGTGTTGATAGTTTAAGTGCTTGGGTAACATAAACACACACACAGAAAACTTGTGGATGTAACTAAGATTTGAAAAAAAAACTGAACACAAGCCAAAACTTTTCATGAAAGGTCACAGCCATAGATTAAGATTAATCACTATGCAGGTATAGAAATTAGTTTACTCAATTAAAAAATAAATGGAATCATAAGAAAATATAATAATAATAATAATGAATAAAATAAATCAATTATAATCAGGGTTAATCAAAACATTGCCAATCAGATAAATAATGATCATGATGATATAAGCAAAGAAATGTAAGACTATCGCATACAACAATTGAGAATGGATGGTCTGCATTGATGTTTCTTAATGCTATCTGATTTGTTGCGTATAGCGGTACGATGGGTTACATGTTTAATATTATTATTATCATTATTATTATTATTATTATTATTACTATTAATATTAGCATTATCATCATCATGATTCCGATGTGATTTATTCGAAACCCGTTTCTGTCTAGATAGATAGATAGATAGATAGATAGACAGACAGATAGATAATATTATAGATGTAATGTGAATATTACTGTTATATTGTTTGAGCTCACCGAATTTTAGGCGCATTAAAATCCCGTAAAGCAAATGCCATCGCTGAATTATCCAATTGTGCTTGTCGTTCATCACGATCTATATGACAATCAATGTTTAAAAAAAATTATCAAAAGGACAGAAAAAAAACTATTTATTCTGATCACAATGGGAATTTGTAGAGATTGTAGTAATTTTAATAGTTGAATTCATGAGTCAATCTAAGCTAGATCAGCATTGAAAACCTGGAAGCAGTAGACGGCCGTCTCGTCCTTCAATAAGACTCTTTTGAGCTATTAAATGATATGACATAGATTTCAGAACATTGTTTAACATAATGAACATGAGATATCAAATTGAAATTATATATCACATAACTGGGTACATTTGCAAGATAATGATTGGTTGAAGTTAAACATTAACACAATTGGATGTTGGCCGGCTGAGTGGTCTAATGGTTAAGCGCTCACAAGTGAGACTGATAGGTCCTGGGTTTGAATCTCGCGGGGGATCGTGGATGCGCACTGTTGAGGAGTTCCATAATATGACGAAACGGCCGTCCAGCGCTTACAGGTTTCCTATGGTGGTCTAGCTTCAATTGACTCATGATTTCAACTATTGAAATTACTAAAATCTCCACAAACCCCTTCTGATAATAATGAGAATAGTTGAATTCATGTGTCAATCTAAGCTAGATCACCATTGAAAACCTGGAAGCAGTAGACGGCCGTCTCGTCCTGAGTACATTTGTAGGATAATAAGAACGGATTTATACTGGTAACAATCAACTGGAAACAATAAACAGAATTTATATCTTCACCATACCTTATGTCTCACTAAGCTACAAGAACTTCAGATGGCAATATCTGATTTGAAACTGTGAAACATTATTAACTCAGAGAAGCATAACTATTTCTATACATTGTTAATCAATCTAAAATTCCGATAGACAAATGATTAGTTGATTTAAGCTGATTAGTTAATAAATAAAAAACAGGATAAAGTGTCCATCAATAGGAATTAGAAGGAGCTTGAAAGGATTGCCCAGGACAGGGTTGGATGGAAAATGCTGGTGAGCGGCCTATGCTCCTTCACGAGGAGTAACAGGCGTAATTAAGTAAGTAAGGATAAAGTGTCCAGGAGGAATTTACAGACTATTTAGTACCATCAAGTAAAATTATTCCTTGAAATATTTCGACTCGTATTGTCTTAGTGGCAGTGTTCCGAAAAAGTAAAGGATATGCGATGATATCCGGTAATTAAATGGATTTGGTAGATATGAAGAATTCATCAAAGTGGAACTGGAGAACCTTGATTATACACTAATGGTGTACATAGGGTTTCATAGTTATAAAATAATGAATAGTTTAACAACCTTTGATCAATTATGTGATTATAATTAGTATGGAAAAATTTTTTAACTTTGGTTAAAACAAAAGTTCTGTTATATCCTGACGATAATATTGAATAGTAACTATTTGGATCCATTTGTGGAGTAATATTATACATATATTAAGCGCCTGGCGCGAGACTGATAGGTTTTGGGTTCGAATCTCGCGGGGTGCGGGGTGTTGAGGTGTCCCATACTAGGACAAAACGGCCGTCCAGTGCTTCCAGGTTTTCCATGGTGGTCTAGCTTCAATTGACTCATGATTTCAAACAAAAACTTAACAATCCCACAACCCCTAAACTGATTTATTTTTATTGTATAATCGTTAAGTAAATAAACTATTCATATTCGTGTTCCTATGGACCTATGAACTATTATAAACTGCTATTATACCATTCTTGAGTTATGCCCCGTCTCTCAATTACTATCTCCCACATTCACAGCCACTTTGGGTTAGATCTTGTACAAATGTCGTTTCCTATTTTATGGTACAGTGTGATCTGTCTGGTTGGTATATAAACCTATTATGTTTGAAATAAATGATTCATATCACAGAGGTTGAGATTGGTGTTCTGGACGTAATAGTCAGAGCTAGGCAGGAAGCAGGACCGATAAGGACTCTAGGCTGCTCGTACTTGATTTATATGTCATTGGTCTGGTCGATAAATTACTGCTCTCTAATTGGCGGTATCATTACTTCCACTTGTAGCACTAAACTTGCTTTACCTCCAATACCACTAATGAAACTACCTTGGATGTCCATAGAAGTTATATTTCTTGAAATGATTCATCATATCACATATTATTGTTCATTTCTTCTTCTATCATTTCAATTCAATCTAGTACTCATAGAACTAACTATTATTCGGTCTTTCTTATTCTCTCTCTAGACAAATGTCAGTAACTTTGAGATGGTTTTCATTTAGAATTTTTTCAATTTTAACTTCTTTGCTAAAAAATTTATTGTATAGATGATTTTCGTATATTCAGTTCATCCAAAATCACCCGGACAGGGAATCCGAAATGACAAAAAGCACAAGAGATAGTACATAATCACTGAAGATTACAAGATAACTACACTTATTTACTCGTGAGTTAGAAGCTGTGACCACTGGAGTTAAACCATATCAAGTGTGAAACAATTATCCTCATCAACTAATGGATGAGAATTGAGCATTATCATGAATCAATTGAAGTCAGACACACAAACTGTTGGATTATGAGTCAATGTTCTATAAGTTAATTGTTCACATGTGAGATCGATGATCCTGGGTTCGATTGCTCATGGTAGGATTGTGAATGTGCATTACTGATGAGCTTTATACTAGGATGGAACATCTGTTCAGTAGTTCCAGGTTTCTATACTGATCTAAGTGAGATCAGTTTGTGATTTAAACTATGAACATATTACAGTCTCGATGATTTAAACTTACAAAGTCTATATTTTTCAACTTTGTCTTAACCACTAATTTCATCACTTTTACTCTTGACTCGAATAATAAACTAATCACCAGAAATTCGACTGATACAATGATGAAACAATTGTCTGTTATCTAAAAGATGGTTGGGACATGTATTATGTATGCCAAGGGATCAACGACCTTGATTTGCAAAGCTTAATGATATAGGAATAGGTCTATGAAGTCAGTGAATGTGAGATAGAGCCATGTTGGTTGGCGCAGCTCACTAATGGTTGGAGATGTTGGATGACACGACCCAGAATATGTCTTAAGAATACAGATATATTCACTTTTTTCTTCTCTTAGATTTCGAGCTTTAAAATTACCCTAGAGTTTTTATTCTGTGAAGTCATTCTTTTTCTCCAGTCATTGTTTACACCAAATATTGATACCATTACTATTTCTACTATTCTAGTATTCGTCTTGATAATTTCATTTCGCTGTGCTAATGTGGCGTGGTAACTTGAATCTATGTGTATATGTGTCAAATTCTACATTTCTTAAGAGTTACTGATTTGCCAAGTAATAAGTATCGAATGTTAATCGACACTAACCTTAAGCTAATTTCTATGTTAAGCATGTTATGAATATATATATACCGGAAATAAGAACTTACTCATTAGCGAACTAGGTGTCTTATCAGATATTTGTTTAATTGGATAGTGTTCACCACTTTGTGGTATCCATACTCTTGATAAACTTTCATGACCATCTAATAATCGACGTTTACGACTAGCTGAACGTTCAGGTAAACATGCACCACCATGTATTAATCTTCCTCGATTATCATATGCATAACCAATTCCTTCATAACCTTGATGATAATCACTTAAACCTTTGGACAAATGACTTTCTGTCATTCCTGTGCTATATATAGATTTTCTATCTAAACTATGTCCATGTGAAGATGATCTGTGTCGACGTTCAAGTTCTGCTTGAGCTTGTATTTGTATATTTGATAATCTAACTGGTGTAGCTGGCGAGATTGTATGTTCCGATGGTACAGGATGATCACCGAACCATAAAGTATTCATTGAACTGGAACGATGTTTTGATGGGTGGGTACCAGTTAAACCACTTAATGTTCGACGTTTTGTACTGATTATTAAACTGTGTTTTGAACCTTAGAAAAAACATATACGATTATAAAAAGTGTTTATTCGATTTACTTATATACTACCAACTAATGAAGTTGTTCAATGTTCTGATAATTTTTAGCTAACTTATACAAGTATAGTACATATAAACATGGCCCCTAAAACAGAAAGACATCTAAAGTTGGTAGATATTCAAAACATTTCTCTCATGTAATGGAAACATTAGGTGAACAATGCTAGAGTGAAGTGTATAGCTTGAGAGAGGTATGATAATGTAAACATCAGTTGCCTTACATAGGGGAAGCATTTACCATATCTAAACAATGCATAAGACTGACTGACTAGGATTAAGTTGAAACAAAGTTAATGGTTGAGAAACCAATATATGGTATCAGTTCTTGGAATTATTGATTATCAGTTTGAACTATGTCGGTAGTTGTAGAATATCAAGTTGTAAATCGTAAGATATTTGTAATCTATGACAATTACAATATTGGACTTGGATACATCAGTGATCTTTTTTTTAAACCTCGAGTTTAATGTCATTTATGATGCGCCTGTATTCCACTATATTCAGCTGACTCTGAGAAGCCAGACCTATTATTTAAGAGGAAAAGGTTATAGACCGGGTCTATCAGAAATCAGTCAAATGCTAAACACATGTGATTAGTCAAAAAGTAGCTTGAATTTCTAGGGAAGAAAATATACATCGCCAGTGGCTTAATTTTCTAAGGCATATAGGTATATAGGAAAATTGCACGCCAGTATCATTATTGGACACAGCGAATCACAACAATTCCTTACTGCTTGTTCTTTATTTCCATTCACCCCTTTTGAAATACCCTTCCTACATTTGGCCTTATACTACAATCACTACTTCTATTCAAGCTGGATAGTGAATAGCAGTGGAATCCAGAATTCTCTCTTCATCCCGTTCGAAACTTGGCATCTAGTGTAGTTGCATCCCGGTGTTAGTGTTCAGATTAGGACTTTAATCCAGTTGTTTCCATTTCAAGTTCTAACACGTTATCCACTAAGCTAATGAGTCGAGCAAGTCAACGGTTGGTGCAACAGGTATCAATTTTATTCGTATGTGTTTGTAAGTTTCTATCACCCATGATGATACTGATCAACAAACGTCAAGAACTAGAAAGTACAGACTCTTACGGATACATTTGATATTATTGTCTCCTCTGATCGTCTTGCTACATGGTATGAATTGTTTCAACTTAAAACTATGGACAATTTTCTACCAGATCTTACGTTGTCTATGAATAATCAACTATCTTGACAGAATATTCAAGAAGAATACTTAATTTTCGAAAAAATTCTTTCTTTCGACCAAAACTTCATCCTAAATAATAAATCAGTACTTTATGTAAGCTTCTCATTGTTTAGTTAGTATATGACAAAATTTGGTCTTCAAGAGGTAGCTGTATGATTAGGTCACTTTGTAACTAACTATACAGTGTTATTTACTGAACAATTGTATCTAAAAGATGTAAATCCCTGGGTCTGGTTTTTCATACTCATCAGTGGGAAATAATATGAAGTTTTATGATTACTGCTGCTTCTCGTGTGGATCTTTAATTCTAATCAATATCATTAAAAATTAGTTGATTACTAATCAATATTGACATCGAAGATCCTGAATGTGGTGACTTCAGTATTTGCTTCTCTGTAGTTTACTCTATTCAGTTAAATGCCCCCAAATGCCCTGGTACGAAAGAGAGTGAGGAGAGTCAGTTCTCTCTCTCGAGATGCTCTCACATGTCCACGTGCATACAACCACTAACTGGAAAGTCCTGCTCACTGTTTTCTCGTGGCGGGGGTGTTGTTCACGAAATTCAGAGGATGAAAACCGAATGTCCGGCGCTTTTACCGCCTTGGTGGATATGTAGGATCCACCTAGGGGAGTTGGAAAACCCTAATTTTAAATCAATGGTGTATATGGACTCCAGTATCCTGAAGGAATAAATGGAGTATGAACTAATCGTTGGTCACTGGCCACCATGGGACTGCGTCTCCAGACGTTGCTCTACTGCCTTGTGGATTAGGTCGAAGACTCCGGATGTGGCCCCCTAAGAAAACCACCTGCTTCGATTTAGGCACCCGGGCAGTATCCTAGCCCTCACATAAATCAAATGATTTATGTGGTGCATATCTGTTTGGTGCCTCCTTGTACCAATGTTTATGTGTTTAAATGAAAATAAGTCATAAATTCAGTTAACTAAACTTAATTATTCATGACAAATAATGGCAACAATTATTTGATTTTAGTTGATAACAAAAACATCTGATGTATATTAATTTTCTTCATACAAACTGGTGATGAAAATGTATGTTAGTTGTATCTATGCTCTAGTTATACAGGTTATATTAGAAATGAATTTCAAATAGGCAAACCTGCTATAAGTTTCCATACAGAAATCGATTGATCAATGATGACAGAAGTAAAGTTAGAGTGAGATGATTCTTTTTTGAAGGAAAAAATAAGTCACATAGTATCTAGTTAACTCAAAACCTTTAATTTTCCATTCGAATCTACTTGAAGTTAGTTAACGGAAAAGATAAAAATTACAAGGTTTACAAAACTCTTAAATCACTCTTTCAGTAACAATTCACTTCATGTTTACTAGTGATAAACATTAAGAGAAGTGATTAGAAGTCAGTTAGTCAGTTACAACGTAGAACCAGACACATATGTGCATCGGTCTAAGTTACCATACCTTAATTAGCAAAACAACATGAACAAAGGATTCATAGAAGTAGTTAATTCAATGGTGATGATATATAAAAGAAAGATTGCATATAAAGACATAGTACGGGAAGAAATGGATATGACTAGAAGATTTTGATCATATCAAGTACGAAAGAATATAATATTATCATTGGGAATGTATAATAGTTCCACAATATTATGTATTTAATGTGGTTTGAAGTTGAAAGTTTACTGCGAGACCTGAAGATAATAGGTTGAATACTTGGTGGTTTCATGGATGCGTACTGCTGAAGTGTCGTATAAATCACTCAGTGATTAATTTCAACAAATGTTCTGAATTATAAATTATTTGCTGAGACTATAATTTATGGACGACCTTTGAGTGACGCTAAACTGACCTTGAGAGTGTTCACCTACTAACTAGGATGAAATGAGGGTTACAAAACAGTGTGGGGAATTAGAATTATGATTTACAGTTGATAGTTAAGGTTAGGAATTAGATTTCGGGTTATCCTCACAAACTGACATCAGCTGTAGTGCCAAAACTCTATTTAGCCAGTTGGATGAATGAATTTCGCGCCGAAATCCGAGACCTGTTATCTTAAATCTGATTCGTTCGTCTTTAAATTATAGTGTCGCCAATTATTTATTTAACTGATTTCTAAGGACTGATAACACTAAAAAATCACTAAACAGTTGGAACACATAACTCAGCGTGAGTTCAAACACAAAGCTTGGCTGCGAATTATATCTAATTTCTTTTTCTCCTTTAAGATATCTATGTATGAATATGTTAGATGAAACCGAAGTTACATCAAATATTACAATAGAAGTTTATTACTAAAAGGGAAAAGACTCATCAACAAAATGAATAAATGATGAACAATTTTTTTAAATAGTATGATGATATATTCGTAGCTCTTAAATCACGAACTGATCTCACTTAGATCATTATAGAAACCTGGAACTACTGAACAGATGTTTCATCCTAGCACAAAGCTCATCAGTAATGCACATTCACAATCCTACCATGAGCAATCGAACCCAGGATCATCGATCTCACATGTGAACAATTAACTTATAGAACATTGACTCATAATCCAACAGTTTGTGTGTCTAATTTCAATTGATTCATGATAATGCTCAATCCTCATCCATTAGTTGATGAGGATAATTGTTTCACACTTGATATGGTTTAACTCCAGTGGTCACAGTCTCAATGAAACTCCAGCAGTGGCAACTTCAAACTAGTTATGGATGCACACCTCTGATGAGTCACAACATACTAGGGTGAAATAGTCATTCGGTTCTTTCTGATTTCCAATAGTAGTCTATTTAAGATCGGTTCGTGATTTAGACTATGAAAGGTTTACAATCTTTGCAAAACAATGTACTGATGTTATGATGATCGTTAAATTATTAAACGCAACTTACTTGTATCATTCACCACTAAAATGATCAGCCAAGTAGCATGTATATAATGATTTACACAAAAATTATTACAAATAAAACGTCAGCCGAATAAACAGATTTAAAGTTGAGTTTCAACTAGAGAACATTTTATTGTCAGGCTACACAGTATGTTAATGGATAATAAAAGTAGTATACTAAATGAATTCCATTTTTTACCTTGGACTGTTCCCTAATTCATTGGGTTCAGATTTCAAAGAAGATGAAATATTTGGCAAAGTGAAATGGTTCATTAGTCCACATGTATCAAATGTAGAATAGCAACCACCTCCAAAAATAGAACCAAACGCTGGTCTAACATCCAATTACTTGCTTGGAAGTTGTTCAAACGCAAAAGAGCTTAGCTTTCAACCAACTGGTTGTTGGTTCGAATTAAACTTAACATACCTTAGTACACATGACTATCACAAATAACGATTATAGCTAAAAGTCATGTGTATGAATGAATGTGTTTATATTCACACACACACACACACTCTTTGATAAATCTTCCAATTGAAAGCTTGTTATTGACCTCTCAGCCACCTCCTATAGTCATAAACTATTACTACACTTAACTTGATCAACAGAGAAAAGGTGATAAATATGAGCAAAAGTTTTACTCCAAGATTAATTTATGGACGAACAGTCGGGTGTGTTTATGGGTTTTCAGATGACCTTTCTTTCCTAGAGACTTCTGAGAGCATGCTGAATATGGTAACAATATAAATAATTATACAATCCAAACTTGACAAATAATCTTCCCCTATGTTTCTGCGTAGCTTCTGTCCAATGATGATTGGATGGAACATTTTCAGCCTGGATTTCTAGACTTTGTCGAATGACATTCATGAACTCCCAACACTATCTATGTACTTTTAATATTTTAGTTCAGATAGTGAAAATTCTTCTTTTAATTAAAAATTTGATCAGCCCATTAATTTGATTCCATAATTACTTACCATTAACACCGTAATAACCAGAACTTCGACTTGTTGCAGTTGTATGTTTAGAACGTGGTCGTGATATACGTTCTTGTGACATTCCATTTGAATGATCACGATCTAGTCCTTTCATGTATTTACCTGTTTTATCATTATAATAAATACCATAAATATTTTCATAACCCGGAGTGGAAGGAATTGACATACCTTCAGGACTAATAAGGCTATCACGAATTGATGTGATTGACTGTCCAGTTTTTTGTCCTTTTGACTGTTTTCTTAATTGTACAGGTGGATAATTGTCTTCATTGGGCATTTGTAAATAAATAATCAATAAACAACTCAATAATAATTAAGTACCTGATAAATTTAGTTAATATTAGCATTTTATATAATAGATTCACTTGGTGTTGTTTTACTTGTATCTTCTCATTATTATTTAGGACTGCAATCGAGCAGTCTCATGTTGACATATGTGCATCCCTGTGAGGATTGCCTCGATATAGCCTTAAGTCGCAAGGTTTTTGAGCAAAAAACGGATAGTGGCTAGCAGTGGAGTCCAGTTTGACACGCGTTTCGTCCTATTTGGGACTCGTCAGCTGGGTGTACTTGAACCTCAGACTTGACGTTCACTCTGGGACTCGAACCCAGCACTGTTCGCTCCAAACGCCATCGCGTTATCCACTTAGCTACAAGTAGAACGGCACCAAATGAATTTAAACTTCACCTCATTGCATAAGCAGGACTCCACTGCTAGCCACTATCCATCATTTATATAATAGGTTTCAATTTAGGGAAAGGTCGAAATTTCAGAACATTTCTGTTTTAATACTCATGTTTTGTGAAGAAAGCATTTATATTGACCATCTAACCTAATAACAAGTCATTCACAACCAGATATAGAGGCTTACATTAAACTTTACATAACATTCATTTGGTAGACAACATTATGTATAACTTAGTCGGAGCAGTATTTAGATAAATTTGGTAAATAAACTGACTAGGTAACCAACTTTTAGACGATACTGATAAGTAAAGAGTGTAGTTGTAAGCTGTAGCAAGGACTTTTCTATAGTTAACTAAATTTACATTTAAGATATCGCAACTCATGAAGTCGATAATCCACCAAACTGTCTAAATTTACCACTAAACACACAAAATCTAAAATTTTAAGAAACACTCTTCTAATTATTGGAATGTGTCTCGAGTCAATTAGTTACTTTCATATTCCACAACCATTCGATTGCTCAACCCGTTATGGTAGTCGAAAGATTGAGAAATGACTAGGAATGGCAAAGTGAATTATGTAGTCAGTCTATTATGCAGTCTGATGTTAATGTTATTTATTGTAACTGTGTAACGATGCGAAAAAAATATAGCGTATTTTAAATTCTTAGTACACCTTTATGGTATTTTTAATGAGTATTATTAGTGCTTGGACATCTGGGCTACCTGTTCCTGTCATCAGATGTCGACTCCTGAACTGCTAAAACTTCTAGCCAGCGACCACTCAATATCTGTCATCAGGATCGACGAAGAAGTAAGAAACGGAAACTTGTTGGAATACTTTGTGCTGAGAATTTTATATTGTACCAAAAATCTAACAGCGAATAAAGCTAACAATAATAATAAGATAATCGAGAATTCATTAGCTGTTAGTTTGAATCGTATAGGTAAAACCAGATTATCGGTTGAAGATCCTCGAGAAGAATGAAAACAGTGGTTGAGAACATTAGACGATATGGCTTAAAATCAGTAACAGTCGCGTAAAAATATTCACTTTTTATCTCCTTATAGATCTTGAGCCCCAGTATTCTTTCATGTATAATATCCTACTCTGTCTTTTCACACCATGCTTTTTATGGTTAGTTAATCTCAACGTCATCGGTTCTAAGAATATTTCAACTCCTTTCTTACTCATCTCAAAATCAACTCCTTGTGTTAGTATGGTTAAACAGCTTGAACCAAATCAAATACGTAACAGGATGACTGACTGATGTTTTTTTCAAATAGTTACAGAATAATTTATAAAATTTGACTCTATTGAGTTCCATAAATAACCAAAAATATTCCATAAAAGTAATTGTGTAACTAGAAATTTACATACTCGAAGGTTCTGGTTCAGATCGTCTCCTTGTCTGAGTTATTGTACGTAATGCTGGCGGTCTAAGTTCTTCATCCGATTCTCCTGAATCATCATAATCACTTTCATCCGATGTATATTGATCATAATAATCAGGCATTTGATCCGATATTCTATCACTGGTTCTAGGTTTACTTGGTTGAATAACTGTATCGCCCAATCTAGGATCATAAGCACTATGAGGGCCGGAACGTTCACTTAAATCTTGCAGTGATCTCTTGTGTCCATTGTATGGTGGACGAATAACTGGTGGACCTGAACCAGGTACATTTACATAATAATTTTCATCAACTAAAAAAATATCAAATCAGAAAATTATTTCTAAGATCTAAGAAATGTCATTTGCTTTTAGAGTTCTTAGATTTAATCATTTCATGTATCTCATAATTATGATTATCGGCATATATGCCCCGGTATATGCCCCCAAATGCCTTGTTATGACCGAGAGTTGGGTGGGCCCGCCCTCCCTTTCGAAATGCTCTCACATTGCCACGCGTATACAGCCCCTGCCAGGGAAGTCCTACTCACTGCATTCTCGTGGCGGGGGTGTTGTTTATGAAAATGAGAGGACGAAAAGCGAATGTCCGGCGCTCTGACCGGATTCAAAACCAATGGTGCACATGGACTCCAGTATCCTTAAGGAACACATGGCGTATGAAACAATCGTTGGTCACCGGCTACCATGGAACTGCATCTCCTCACGATGCTCCACTGCCTTGTGGATCAGACCTTTAGGTCAAATGCTCGGGGTGTGGCTCCCTAAGAAAACCACTTGCTTCGGTCTGGGCACCCGTGCAGTATCAAAGTCCACACACACAAATATGGTGGGGGGCATATATATTTGGTGCCCTCTTGTACCAATATTTATGTGTTCAAATAAATAAATAAATAATCGGTATATATGATCTTTCATCAATTAACTAAATGCTCATTATGCCCTTCAGTTTATATGATAGATTATGAAGCCCATTACCTGTTTTAATAACAATACCGCTTTCATACAACTAGAAACCTTGATTACTTTAAACAGAGCTATGCAGAAAGGTCTCAAATTAGAATTAAACAGATATTCAGTGGTCTTTGATATTCATTGAATTCGGCAAATCTAACCGCATAATCAAGTGAACAGTCTACTGAAGAGGTTAATTCTATCGAATCTTTGACAAAACAACTGAGTTACGTGTAAACAAAAACATTGATTTTTGTTCAGAATATAGTATGATTATTACAAAAATATATGCAAGATATTGTAGACTTTAATTCTTGAAGCATACAAAATCAAGGGAAAAATGTCTCGTGAAATATTCAAAGAAGGATTGTTCACAAAACATACTATAGACTATATGACAGTGCTAGTTATGTCTAAAACCGTAACAGTGTACAAAAATCGGATCTGTCTTATTTCAACAAAATTTCAATGAGACCGTTAGGCTCCGGCTCAGTGGTCTAGAGCTTAAGCATTCACGCGTGAGACCGAAGTCATAGGTTCGAAACCTACGTACGGGATCGTAGATGAGCACTGTTGAGGAGTATAACAATTCTATTGAAGAAAATACCATCAATTCTACGATTCTTAACACACACACGTGTATATGCTATAGAGAACTAATCAGGTCTTCCACTACTTATTGGAACTGTGGCACATGGCATTTCTCCCGTTTGCACCCATTCAAGAAACATAAATGGGCAAAATGTAGAGTAACGGGTCATAAGGAGGGATTTTTCAAACGCAACAAACCCTCATCTCATTATCGGATGCCAAAAAGAATCAGTTATGTTAACCCCTGATGCTCACGTAAGTACTTATCGATTAGTGTTAATGAATGTATCATGACTTTGCAGTTGGACACTGGATCCGATGTCTTTTTGCTTTGTCGTAAAACTTGGCACGAACTTAGTTGGTTAAGCATTCATTCTACAAATGATTGTATAAAAAGTGCATCGAGCATCCCAATAAAAATTTCTGGAATTATCAAATGTATTGTTAAATTTAGTGATTCAACAGTCAAATCTAAATGCTATGTTACTGATGAATCCTCTAATTTATTGGGTCTTGACCGGATCGCAGAATTTGAAAATGTTTGATTACCCACTTAATCTTATTTGTAATCCAGATTCAGAGAAGATCAATCGGTCATTCAATCTTATTTGCAACAAAGTATCTTCCTATCCTCATATGATGCACAAATGGTGACAGAAATTTCCTTGTGATTTTCAAAGTGATCATAAGGGGATTGTAAAACCGAGAAAATCACCAGCAATAACCCCGAACCCAGCCTCATCTAAAGTTTTTCCCCTTGCTGTTTCAGATATAATTACGAGTACCCATCAGTAATATATAACTGAAACCTCGTAGCTTTTTTCCAAAAGACAAACAAACAATAATTTAGTTTGAAAGAACATCAAGGTATTAAAAAATTACTAACCTGAAACCATTCCATGGCCTGATCTTCTGCCTGGTTTTGGGCTTGGTTTATCGTCTAAACGTTTTGTTTGGTCATGATCAGTAGGTTGAGGTGGCGGTGGATGACGATATGGTTTATCAGGTTCTACGTTTGAAGTATACAAAGAAAGATAAGTCCTGCCTAATCCATAACTCTCAACTCAACATGAGCTTGGATTATTACTCAAAGTTAAGAAACTATGGCAATATTTTGCTTACCATAAACTGATACTGATGTAAGATAAAATGAAAAAGCAAGAAACACTGAAAAACTATTTCATCATCCTAGTTTTCAACTTCTCTATCGTTCACATTCACTTACAAGATTGAATTTAAAATGTTCTAGTCTCTCAGTGAGTAGAATGAGAGAATTGTTTTCAAGTAGTACGAACTCTTCCAAACAAAACACCATGGTAAAATAGTAATTATATACTTATTGGTTAGTGAGATAAAAGTATAGTATAAGGAGGAGATTGAGCGATTGCTAAATTGGCTCATTGATTTTGAAAGGACTTTTTAGTCATTGAGCAATAGGTTCGTATAAACCAAGAGTATTTCGAAACAAATTAGTTTGTTTGTTTTGAAAAAAATTTATTGGCTTTTCAAAGTTTATTACCAGTTTTCCGGTCTTAATATTCCAGAAATTTCATGAGATAACATTATTATTCTAAGTATAGGTCTATTCATACTAGATTTTTTATTAAGACCATGAACCAATTAATGTTAGACCACCATTGAGAACTTGGGGACACTGGACGGCCGTTTCGGCCTACTGTGGAACTCCTCAGCAGTGCGCATCTGAGGTCCGCTCGCGTGATTCGAACCCAGGGCCTCAGTTTCGTGCGCAAATGCCTAGCCTATTGGACCACTAAGCCACCATCCAATGGTGTTATTGTCTAACCTCAATCAATCCACGAAATTGAGTGACCATCTTCCATTGTACTGAAATAGATACCTGTCTCTACCCGACACGGATTAGCTCCACTGATCACGGTTTCTCACTAGAACTCCGAGAATTCCCTCACGAAGCTATTCACTAGTGAGCACGTGGTAATTATTAGTATAGAGGTTGTGGAGATTATCGAGTTTTTGATTGAGGTCATCCACTGCTTCCAGGTTTTCAATGGTGATCTAACATCTATCGGTTCATGATGTTAATCAAAAACTAATAGTTTACTAGAAACAAAGAGGAAACTAATTGATTCTTGTGTTATGTAAAATCTTTATATTACTTACTTACGCCTGTTACTCCCAATGGAGCATAGGCCGCTGACCAGCATTCTCCAACCCACTCTATCCTGGGCCTTCTTTTAAGATCTTCTGACTCCCAGGGCAGAGTTTAAAAGGTTTGAATAATTTTTTCTGGTTAGCGTTTTTTTAGCGAGTTAGTTTTCTACGGGATGGGGACGCTAACCCCATGCCCAACCCTCCTCCTTTATCCGGGCTTGGGACCGGCAGTAGCCCCCGGAGGGACTCCTTAAAATGTACGTAAATACTTAAATGTAACCCCGTCAATTCTGATTGACTCTCTCTTCTACTTTATATTTTTATTATGAAAATAACAAAATCATTATTAAGTAGTAATTTGAAGTCATTTGATTTTATCGTTGAACAATTATGTTGAAATAGAATGAATTAACGTTAAACCCCAAAACTGAAATAGTGAAAGACAACAGTAAATTGTCCAGTTAATATGAAAGAATGAACTGAACTGAAAAACAAAAACAATACTAAACACTTAGAACTCATTCCTGTTAACATTCATTATTTGGATTCATCTATACGCTATTCGAAATTGTATAGTTCAGAATATCAGTTATATACATTTCAAATCTTGATCAAAACCATTCAAGTTATATCGATTTATTCAATACAGTCTTCGATAATGCTCTAATTCAAGATTTTCTTTCAACAAAAATTTGTCTCAGTTAAGATGCCACATTGAAAATTGGTGAATGTTAGACAACTTGTTGTTTGAGACTTCTTTTCAAAATACATCCATAACCGTACCTGAGACTAAACTAGTTAGTCAGTCAGTTACAATGTAGGACCGGACACACATATACATCGGTCCAAGTTGCCATACCTCACTCATTAGCACAACAACATGAACACCGGATTCATAGAAGTAGTTAATACAATGGTGACAATGTATAAAACGAAGATGGCATATAAGGACATAGTACAGCAAGAAAGAATTCGTTCGTAGAAAGTAAGATATGAAGCGATTTTAATCTCAGAGTTTAAGGGATGACAGAGAGTGTATACATCGACGCTATTGTGATAGATTTTGAGCCATGTCAACCAGAGTCTCCAACCATTGGTTACGATGGTCATGCGGACCCCAACCAAGTAATCTGCATCTACCAACATGACTCAGACTAGAAGTTAGTGACTGTAAACACTGATGACACGTTTTGGTTTGGCCACCCATAACTTTCTTCCAACCATCTCCAACACTAGTCAGCATTGCTTGTCATGGTAATCGGTGTTCAGGTATACGTAACACGTGACCCAATCATCTCAGTCGATGAACATTCACAACCTCATCAACTGATTTACCATCATTTCTTAATACCCATCGTCTAACCTCACTATTACTTACCTGGTGATCCCAGCAGTTGGGAGCAATATTTCTAAGGCACCTGTAGTTGAATATTGGTAGCTTACGAGTATCTTCTGCTCTTAATGGCCACGTTTCGCAACCGTAAAGTAGAACAGAATGGACTACCTCTCTGATACTTATAATAGTACTCCAGATTACCTTGCTTACAATTTTTATTGTATGAGGCTTCACTTCAGTTAACATCTGTTATTGTGTTTGAAATATCCTGGTTTAGTCTCAGTGATCTTGAGTGCTGTTAGAGGTCAAGACCACTGACACTAAACCAGGGGATTTCAAACACCGTAATAGATGTTAACTGAAGTGAAACCTCATACAATAACAATTGTAAGCAAGGTAATCTGGAGTACTATTATAGGTATGAGAGAGGTGGTCCATTCTTTGGAGGGATATTTCTTGAGGGGCTAGATAAGAAAGCTGAGTGAAGTGTGATCGTGGAGACCTAAGTACATGACCATAGCTCCCAAGAAACAACTATAGCTTTATTAAAAAAGTAAACTTGAATCTAATGAAATTGTTAAACATGAATGCTATTGACAAGGATGAGTTAAATTCATTAAAATCTATGGGTTCAGTGTATCCTAATTTATATAGATTACCAAAAATTCATAAGCCTAATACCCCATTACGTTCAATTCTATCATTGTGTCAGTCACCTACATACAACCTTGAAAAATGGTTGATAAGGATGTTAAACCCTATCCGAAATCAATTTTGTAATTATTCCTTGATTGACTCATTTGGATTAAGTACTTAATGAACATGAATATAAAAACAAAGACAATGTTCTCCCTTATTGTGAACACTTGATTTACAAATATACCTCTTTGGGAAACTATTGATATTTTATGTGACAATATCTCATTGAATAACCTTCCATTGCCATTTCCTGTTAAAACTCTTAAAGATTTATTATTATTATGTACTGACAATGTAAAATTCTTTTTTAAGGATGAGCACTTTCGAAAAATCAATGTCGTAGCTATGGGTAGCCCTTTAGGACCGTTTCTGGCTGATGTGTTTATGAGATATGTTGAAAATCTAGCTGGAGACTCAATTCAATAGATGTGTCTGTATAAACGCTACGTTGATGACATCATAATCATAGAGGATAGACGTGAAGATGTGAACCGCTTGTTAAAAGAACTTAACACAAGTCAAAGGCATATTTCTCTTACATGTGGAAAATAGAAAAATAACAAACTTCCTTTTCTAGACGTACTGATTAGTAGGAGAGATGATGGTTCCATTCAAAGCCGACATGGACGGGGTAATATCTTTATTTCCATAGTGACTACCCAACTCATTACAAACGTGGATTAATAAGAGGTTTATTCAATAGAATCAATCATACTTGTACTAACGATACTACTGAAGTAGAGACGAAGCTATTGACTAAAACGTTAATGATTAACTATTATTCATTAAAGTTCATAAACCGCTGGAATTGTTACAATACGGCTAGACCTATGACACTTCTGGCACCCAAAAAGCGAGTTTACATTATGTTACTGGTGTGAATAGGAAAACAAGAAGCCCTGACAAACTACGAAAGCTATTTTTCGGGACGTTATCCCATTTTATTCAAAGCTTGTAAAACACTAACATTTATTTTTGTCCCTATTCTATTCTACAGAACATAAGCTTTCGTCCGATGTATGATTCATTGCCATACCCTTTTCTGTTCCGAAGCTATTGTAGTTTAAACATAATATTTTGTACCCTATTTTCTACGCTAATTCCCAGTATTGGACATAATTGTATTTTTCCTAATTATTGTACTTTATGATCGGGTTATTCACTTATTTATTCATGTACCTTTTTACATTAACCCGAACTGAACTGAAATCAGGATATCGGGAATAGATCGAGTAGAGTTCCAGTTGTCTTGTTTTCTCATTCGCGTGCTTGTCAGCCAATCAGGTGGTAGAATAGTTTCCTCTCTACCCCACTTCGAACTCACGCGTACTAGCCTCAAGGTTAGGTCGGTCAGCCTATCGCGCCAAGGTCTTAGTCTGGATTAGATAAGTAGCCTCAGCACCAAGAATGGGTAGACAGACCAAAGGACATAACAGTTATCACTTAGAGGCTACCCAAATAGTCTCAAGTTGAAACGGAGATCGAAATTAGTCATCAACAGGACATTTTATGCAGCCCAAATTGGCATTATTGAAAATACAAGGTCTATGTTTCACCAAAAACCCAAACAGCACATCCCATTTTGTCTATCAATTTACATATACGTGCGGAACATGTACATAGGGAGGAGCAATTAAGGATGGTGGAACACATACCCAAATGGCTGCAGATACAAATGAATCCCAATGGTTAAATAAGTTCATAGGATAAACAGACATCGTCTTCCATTACGAAACATTTTGTTAAGATTCGTTATAAGGTCGATATCAAGTCGGCATTTGTAGTGTTATACGAAAGCCTTCAAGGACGTATAGTACGGAAACTGAAGCCCTCTGTATGTATTC